AGGAGAGAGAGAGAGAGAGAGAGAGAGAGAGAGAGAGAGAGAGAGAGAGAGAGAGAGAAAGAGAGAGAGAGAGAGAGAGAGATGGGAGGAACACATTCCCCGCTGCCCGCCCCTCAACCCCTGAAAAACCCCTATCCCCGAGACACCACCACACCCCCCTCCCCCCCAACGAAACTTCTCTGTTCGAAGTTTTCTTTGCCCGGAGTCTCGGCAAGCGCAGTCCAACCATGTTTTCAAAAAAAAAACAAAAAAAAAGTTGACTCACTTTTTGGCCCAACCGGCCCTGTTGGATCCGGCCCTGTCCAACTGGCCGTTTTCCATCACAGCCCTGGTTGAGCAAAATAAAATAGGTCTGAACTACTTGGGGCCGGTCAGTTCAATGGTGGTATCTCAAGGCCGTTGCCCTTTTTACAAAAATAAACCAAAAGGCTAAAAGCCCTTTTTACAAAAATAAACCAAAAAAAAAAAGGGGCAAAAAAAGAGGGGAGGAAGGAAAAAGGACCAAAAACTTGCAAAAAGAAAGTTGAGTAGTGGAGCAAGGCCCAATATCTACCATTTTGGGAAATTGCATGAAGAAGTGAGAAGAAGTCAAGGATAAGATTGTGTTACGGACTGCGAACCGAAGTGGGAATTCAAGGAACTTTAGGCATGGTAGGCTCCTGAGCAGCAACACTGGTGAGGCCACGGAGTCCCGTAGATGGCTGTGGCCTGTTGCTCAGACCCACAGACTTCCTGAGGCACTGAGAACTCGTGAGGCCTGCTCCTCCTGCCTGTGATCTTTCCAGGACACTACTTCTGCTGAGGGCCTCAAGGTTCTGAGCCGCTGTGGCCGGCAGGAATTTTCTGCGTGCCATTTAGGCCTGGAAAACCTGGAGGGCTCTGAGATCTACCTTCTTCCCCCGAATACAAGGTATGGTCGTTATAACTGTATTTAGACTGAAAGATACCCCAAATACAGCTAATGATTAACGTATTCAGGGGACGAAGGTAGTGATTGCTGACCTCTCTCCCTCAGTCCAGAGATTGCTGGACACCAGATGCTTTTGGTGTCGCTTCTGTGGTGGCAGGCCTGAAAGGGCTGGAGGGTCAGCCCAGCTTTACAAACCTCGGGCAGACCGACAGATAGTTTTTTTTGTTTTTTTTTGTTTTTTTTTAATCTCTCTTTTCCTCATCGGGAGACAACTTTTTTTTTTTTCTCAATTTGTTGGCTCTTCAAACCATCGGCTATGACTCTTCTCTGTGCGGGGAGTAGCACCCAGGCNATTTGTTGGCTCTTCAAACCATCGGCTATGACTCTTCTCTGTGCGGGGAGTAGCACCCAGGCTCCTAACCCCTACCGTCTTCACCTGAATAGAACGCCCGGTAATTAGAGCTGCATTTGGCCCAACTTTCAGTCCAGATGCAGCGATAATGGTCCGGTAGTGCGATATGGCAGGAACACCTTCATCGAGAGAGACTCTTATGCTGTCAATGTTTCAAGCATGTGTGGCCATTTCGGTTCTGTTCCTTTTTGCTATCATGTTGACGAGTTATGCTGGTCACAACCTGAATACGATGAGTTAATGCTGGTCACAACCTGAATACGATGTGCATGCCATTTGTGATTCTTCTTCACAGTTTCTTTTCACATCACGTAATCTTGTTCAAAAACCACGTTGTTTAGTCGTTCTTAGAGCTTACTGGTCTCTGCATTTGCTGCTCATTTTTTGGTTCCTTTCTAATCTTCTCCCTGTTAGATGTTGTCTGTCAATAAGGTAAAGAGCAGTGCCTTGAAATGTAAGTGCAAGGAAAATGAGCGATAACGAAATGAGTCAAATAACAGAATTCCAAATTGCAAAAAATACATTGAAATTAATTGAATGGCAATGAATGCCAGATAGTCGAAAGCTATCCGGAAAGCAGAAATGCACTGATATCGCACCGAAGGAGAACCAAAAACACCGAACTCAATTGTCAATGAGAGCACTCTCTCGCCACCGCCAACAATGTATCCAAAGTCCTTCCTCCTCCTACTTGGCGCTCAGCGCCCAGACTATGATCACACAGCTACTACACTAGCCTACTCAAAGGACAAAGCAACCAGTTGACATCAGCAGCAGCAACCAAAGTAGATGCAGAAGTCGACCATGCAGACCTCCGCCAGGACCAGGTATGTGCTCTCCCATCACCCCCACACTCGCGCTCTCTATGCTCACCCTCGTCTTCTCCACCTATGTCCCATCACCATACCAGGACCACCACCTACCCCGCCAGCTTTGTCTCCCCAGGCCCGGCTATGGCGCTGCTCACTAGCAGCGCCCTCACTTCATCCTGCGGCCCGCGTGCGCACGAGCGCTGCTCAGGAGCGGCCTTCAGTGCACTATGCAGCAGTGCTGCCGCCCCAAACTTGCAAGTGCCCGAATGAATCACTCACGGCCAGGCACTTTGCTGTATGCAAAGTGGCAATGCCTGATCGCAGCCTGGCCCGATCGCAGACTGCCCTCGCGTGTGCCCAGTAGCTTCAGGTTGGGCCGAAGTGTCTGCGCCCGGGCCCATTCAGACAGTGGCCTGGGACCGAATTAGCTAGGCGTGCCCAACCACCCAAGAACAAATGTGAGGTGTTCCTTGCCTCCACTGTGTAGCCAGAAGAGCCTAGAAGGCTCACAAATGCTTCTGATTCCCAAGAGCAGGGCGGATGTAACCAACTGGCGCGTGGCATCTGTCTGGTGCCCACCCAGGCTTTGCAAAATTGACGAAATCAGGCGTTTTTGAGATTGGGGGGGCCGCCTCCACTTAGGGCGGGCATATGCTTGCTTCAGGAGCCACATGCATGTATGCCGAGGGGTAAAAACCTTGCATAAGAGTTGCAGTGGTAAAAACCAGTACCGTGAAATGGAAGAGTTTCACATCATGTGAACTCAGAGTTGTCAATGGAGTAAAAAGCAGTGCCCTGAAATGTACGAACTGGCCTAGCTGGGTTGATACACCCCTGAATTGTTGAAATACAGACCTGAGCTTAAACTCCACCCCGAAGCAGATGAAGCAGATGAAGCAGATGAAGCAGATGAGTAACATACTGCAAATTTGAATTACCCAGGGCTGGTCAGCCCAACTGATGATATCTCCAGGCCCTTGCAATTTATTGGGAAAAAAAAAGAGTTGCAGTGGTATTCTGCCACTGTTTGTGTGGATCAGGTGCGGAGGAGTTGGTCCTGAGTTGGTCCTTTCTTACAGTATGTTCCATGATTGATTAAATATAAATATTATGACAACGAAAAGAGTCCCTACTGGTGCCTGCAGATTTCTTAAGGGGGTAAAGTTGTAAACATATGAACTTGATTGAGCACGGCGACCGGTTCTGATTGAGCTTACATTTTGGGACTGAAGTCACTGAAGCCATCTGCATATGAGAATGCCAAGCGTCCTAACTGTTGCTTGCAGATGGAAAATGGTATAAAATAATAAAATAGTAAAAAATACTATAAAATAAATAAATAAATGTTTGAAGTTTGAACTCAAAATCAGCATGTCGACCAGCTTTGGTTGCTTATGTTCTAGGACAACAGGGCAATGAAAAGCGCCACTACCAGTGCCTGCCGATTCTTAAACCACCCGTACATGGCCCCAGGCAACTGGAGAACCCGTTTCGAGCCTCTCGAAAGCTTAGGAGGCGGAGCGCCGTAGATAAAATGAATCGGAGGTGGGCGGCCTCCGAAAGGGGCCCGCGGCCGATAGCTGGCATGTACTGGTGATTTAAGGGTATAACTCGATTTAGCAAGGGGACCAGTTTTGATTGGTCTGATTGGTCTTACATTCAGGGATTGCAGGCTGTTTTTTGTTTTTGTTTTTGTTAATGGAGAATTCAGGGATTCAGGGCTTTTTTGTAGTTGTTTAATATGGCAATGAAAAGTGCCCTTACTGCTGCCTGCAGGTTCTGAAGGGCATGGACTCTGGAGCCCCTATATAGACTGGTGAACTCAATTTAGCATGGTGACCAGTTTTGGTGGTCGCCCTTACTTTCTGAGATTGTCGATGGTTGCCGTTCCGTAAAAAGAAAATGATTGGTGCTTTAAACTGCTTTTCTGGAGCATAAAGACATGCGGCCTTGCAACACCTGTTGTTGGATACTTATTCTCAGTTTCAGCTTTCAAATTTCAATGGTATGAGATTACTTGTTCTGAGACGACATTCGTCTCCCGAACATAGCACCCCGTTTTCATGAATGTATGCAGGGGGTATTGTGAACCCTATTGTGGCCCAAATATGGTCATGATGATGGGGCGTTATGTTCGGGGAAAGAAGGTAGCAGTTGTTGAGCAATTTGTTGAAGACGAGAAAGTGTCCCCAAGAAAAGAGAGGACGAAGTGCAAATACTGTCAATGGAAACAGGACGAAGGCCCTTAGGAGGGGTGAAAAAGCCATGCCTCTTGGCGCTTCTGGGAGGAGGCCCCTCGGCAGAACGATGGGAAATGGGTGGGTGGAGGAGAAAAGGGGAAACGAGGATGGTGATAAAAACTATTAAGAAGTAAGAGGGGACTTGGTGGTGGAAGGGATGAAGGGGAGGGAGAAGGTAAGGGATGAAATCAACGTAAAGAAGGCGTTTAGGGCGAGGAGGATGGTGACAAGGTAGAGGAGTACCGCGATCGGGTCGCGAAGGGAAAAACAAACAAAAATAGAGGGTGTTTATGAGGGTGGGGGACAACCATTTGTCAAATCAATGTAAAGAAGACGTTTAGGGCGAGGAGGATGGTGACGAGGTGGCGGAGTACCATGATCCGGTCGGAAAGGGCAAAACGAACAAAAATGGAGGGTGTCTATGAGGGTGGACAACACTATTTGGAAGGCCAGAAAGCGCATTCCTGCGGTTTGTCATCAGCGATCAAGTTGTTTGCCGTCAACAGATATTGATCACTGGCCATGGCCGATGCTTACTTCTTTTATTTCTTTCGTCCTGTTTTTCTTCCCCAAAAGACATGACAGTATGGTCCTGGCCCCTTCATCTTTGTTTTTGTTTTGGGTCCTGGCCCCTTCCATCATGGACTTCAGTTCCTATCTCATTGGCAAGTCGGGAGAGAGAGAATCAGTTGTGTACGAAAGTTGTGATCATGTCTTAGGGCCTAGTTGCATCACTTGCCGCCCACCAACATTTTGAATGCATCTGGACCCGTATTTGTCGGAATGCATTCAGAATCTTGGCAAATGGCAAGTGTTGCAAGTAGGCCCTTAAACCACCAGTACCTCTGAGCCTTGGTTCCCAAGGCAGGTTTCTGCCGCGTGCCAAAAGTAACAAACTGGCATGGCACAAGTTTTGTCCTTTTTTATGGGCATCGCCAGGCAAAGAGATCCCGTAGTTTGAACCCTGAAAACTGCACTTGTATAAAAGCGTGTTGGAAGAAAATGGCTGTGAGAGGTACTGGTGGTTTAAGAAGAGTAGGGGGAGAGAAGGTCGTTTTGAGCCACACCTCCTACTCGCATGTATGAAGACTGAGATAAGAGGGGAGAGTTTTTAAAAACACGTCAATACCGAATTGCAGCTGGATTCGCAGCTCGGCCTGTGGTGTGTATGATTAGGCCTGAAACATCCCCCGTGCAGGGATGGCTTGGAAACGACATTTTTCGGTGATGTACTGTGCTGAATCAGCCTGATTGTAATGGTATTTCGGGTGTTTGGACACTTGCATTTTGTGTTAGGCAAGGATGGAGGCCTTTCAAGCTGCTGGGCGATATGAAGAGGCTCTCCGATACGTTCGAGCTGTGTCAATCTTAGAAGGTGATACATATAGCACAACACCTGAATGTTCCAAAATAGTGGGGCGCTGTTGAGGGGTTTTTCCGGCAGGTTACTCAATTTTGAATCAATGCACCAGAAACATGTCTTTTTTTTTGTTTTTGTTTTTGGTGGGGGGTGGGGGGGGGGGGGGAGGTGAGGGGTGTACGTGAAGAAAGGAGAGGAAGCCCTAAAGTGCAGGGTAAGGTTTTACCCAGCATGTAAGAGCACTTCTTCAGCTGGAATGTGAGATTACTGTTTGATGGGGAGCTCAAAGCAGCAGAATTGAAGTATTGACTCTTGTTCTAAAACAAAAAAAGAAGAAAAAGGGATGTGCTTGATGATGATCAACTGCATGTGTGTTGCTGAGTACATGCTGGATTGTTTATTTATACTGACTGGCAGGGTAGTTTTGGCGCCTACCATAGGCGGTAGGCGCGCCTACGAGTTGGGCCAACCCGTCGGTGGACCCATCGGCGGTTGGCAGAATGCCTTGCAATGTTTTTTGTTTTTTTTCCTGATTACATGGTTGTGCGCGGCTTGAGGAGAGCAGCCCAAATCCGCAATAAAATATTTTGGGGGTGGTGGAGATTATAGCGGGAGGTATAGGGGTTTATAGGGGCGTTAAAGGGGGGGGTATGAGGGTGTTAGGGG